GTGTCTGCCATTTCGTTTAACGTTGTTATGTTACCAGAAGAAACATTTCATCATCATTAGCCTTTCCTGTTCGAATGCTTAATGAGGCTCTCTCCGAGACTTTGCCATCAGCGTTTGTTTTATGCCAAATTTTTCATTTAATCCTGCCATCCGTCTGGAAGTTTTTGAAATGCACCGTTCAGTTTCTGTTTTAACACAGTCTGATGTCTCTCTTGTCCATCTCTGGTCACTTCTTCTTGTAATGTGCCCTGCCCTCTTCTACTTTAACTTCTTCACTCGGGCAATGACATCGCTATGTTTATGCTCTTGTCCATTCATTTGTCTTCCTATTTTTCCTGGTTATTCCCAACATATACCTTTCCGTGTCCTTTGCATTGTGTACTTTTCAGTTAATAAACAACTTTAAAACAAACATCGAATCTGACGAATCCCCTTCTACGAACGGTCTATTTTCTGCTTGAATTATATAAAATGTGCATATCCGGTTTATTATTTTTGCGGTCCATTATTTGATAAGTGCTGGCAGAAAAAAAAAGTATGTATTAAAAGCTGATACCGATGCTTACGGAATGAGGACACAAAGAAAAATGCTCGGTGCGGTTTGAATGTAGTTACTATCATATGCCAGCCTTCCATTACACGTGACTTTCTGGTAGGGCTGTCTCGGCCCACTCGGGAACTGTCTGTGCGGCTGCAGAAACGATTTACTTTTTCTTGCCAGGATTTACGAAAACTGTATGAGCAAAATAGTCTTATAAAATTGACTTATGTTTATAGCGCCAGTTCATTACGTTCAGGAAAATAAAAATTCATGTTTATAGTAACTGTTCATAAAATTATTCAGAAACTGTCGTTTGTTCAGTTCTGACATGGGGTCTAAAGGACATATGGGTTTAGCATTTTCTTATTTTCGTGGTAACTGTAATCTTTCTTTTTTTGCATCTTTTTTCCTATCATCTATCTTTTTTCTTTTTTTGCCGTTTTTTGTCTTCTGTTCTTTGTCTTCAGAAGCAATGTTTTTGCAATTTGTAGAGGCCTTCCGCTGGTTTAATTGTTGTATACCATTGTTCAGAAAAAACAGGTGTAAACTGCTATATATTTGTATATAACTTTAGCTTAAAGTACTTTGATAAATTGTAAATCATTTTGCGCTAATCTATAAGTGTCATATCTTGTTGACTGTAAGTATTTGAACGTCAAAATTTAGGTTAGTGTAGTACGGCCAAAATTTTGCTTTCATTCGTCAGGTCTGAATAAATAATTGATAACTGACTGGAAGCTCATTCTGATTTAATGCTAGCGGAAACGAACCTTTGAATCTGCTGGCTGTAGTCGCACGGAACGTCGATATTCAGTGGCCTTTATTCACGATTTAACTACCCTTAAAATCGAGTGTTCCAGTTTTACTGAAGCGATTGTTCTTAAATGTAATGTAGAACTGAATGGTTTATTAATAGTAATTTTTTGTAGAAAAAGTTAGTGGATGGTGGACAACAGATTAGTTCAAGTTTTACGGCAATTTGAAAACTTGTGCGTCAATTTGACTTGCTTATTCGAAGACACCCTGCAGAACTTGCAAAACATCGTTCTCGACCAACACTGCGATCCAAGTAGGTACCGATGTTCAGTGAGACAGTCGTACTTAATTCGGGCTAATTAACATGGTGATTATTTATCAAATGCAAATAATTATTTGAGCCCATTTACGATACTAAGTACGGTTGATTTCTACCTAATATAGCCTATAAAATTGTTTCTTTATCTGTCACAGTGATTGCCCTTACAACCGTAATGTTTTGCAGAAATATTCTGTACCCTTGTTCATCTAATTATCAAAGGTATGGACATTAATTCAACATTGCTGTATGGCGGATGCGCTTGAAGTTATTTTAGCAGAAAAAACTTATTATTTTTTACCTTTTAAAATTACTGCAGTTTCTTATTTTTTATTTACTCTGTTCATTTAAAAAGTCGTGCACTTTAGAACCTGAGTTTTAGGCATTACAGAGACGCTATCTCGCGTCGGTACTCCTGAAGCTGATGTCGAAAATTGTCTCGATCGAATTCCGTGCTTCCTCTTTTGCGGTAGTTCTGTTCACATGCAAACTACCGCAATCAGTGAACTTTTCGGTTCAAGTGCTGATGACATCACAAGATGTGCAGGTTAAGCAGATCTGAATTTGGAAAGCGCACGAAACTTGTTTTACAGTAATTTTATTTTTAGGATTCATTGAGGACGATAGTGTACTCGTAATCACTTGCGATGAAGCAGATTTGGTGTCTAAATTTCATGTTTCTGCTCTGCGACGTCTGCGTTCAAAATTAAGGTCAGTCGCCAGTTTCTCTCTTGGCATATCTGCTTTCAATAAAATGGTGGACGTAATATTTAAACTTTGCTCTTCTCTCCTACATGACTTTTCCTGTTTGGCTGCCGTCCGATATGATAGTATGGAATTGAATTGTTGACTGGACGATGGAAAGTGCATCCTTGAACCGCTGCGGTAAAGGCAGAAAGTGTTTGGGCAAATTCTTATGCGGATAACTGGACTATAGCTAATGGAACTTATAGACATCTGTGACAGAGCATATTATTCGTTTTAAAGTAGTTCTGTCTGGGAGAAGAACACGTCGATTACCAGGCCAGACTGTAAGAGTGGGAGTCATTGTCCGTATTAAATTCTTCCTTTCAGAGGGAAGATGAGAACTGTAATGCAGTAAAAGAGGAAATAAAGGACACTGTAATAAGAGGTAGAAACAGTATCTAATGAATGATTAAGAAATGTCAAATTGACGTAAATGTGTTGCTTAAGCTTGTTCATTTATGTTATTCTCTTTCTGAATGAAAGATGGTATTTGTTCATGGTGTGTTTTGCCGAAGTAGACCTTTCTTTAACAGATGACCTTGTTTACTTTGCCTTTCTTTTTCTTTTATTTTTGCATGTACACCAGAAAGTGGAAATGATTTGTGACCTTAGAAAACCGAACTTTCTTTCTGACGTGAAAGGATGGATTTACTTAACACAGAAATGATTCAACTTCGTTTGATTTTTCTTATGTACCCAAGATTTAAGGCATTTATGACATCGGCGCGTTTCTTGCTATCACTTGCCCATTCGTGTTCTGTGCAACTTCTGTTAACATCGCAAATTATTCTCGAAGCCAGATATGTTATGCGAGTTATGGATGACTGCGATTCTCTATCGTTTTCTTCACTGGTCGCTGAGACACTAAAACAACTCTGTCTTTTTTTGGTAGGTCGACCCTGTCAATTCGTTATTATATTTCCTGTTAACATCCAGAAGTTAGTTTGTTTTAACTAGACGAAGTCGATATGAAAGGGCTAATTTTAGACGAAGGCGACGCGACGACCACATGGTCACTAGATCCAGTGCAGATTTCGTGACTGACGCGAATCTCTATTAACGAATGGCGCCATTTGCACCTGATCAGGCCGTGGTCCAGAAGGAATTTTAGGTTACTGTCAGCGGACTGCCATCTAGTTTGGCAGATTCCCGTATGCGTGAATAGAGTCCCGTTTACAGTTAAGCTGTTTGTCAAGCAAAAGCGTAAAAAGCGTGAACCGTTTTCATTCACGATGCCATAACTGTGTCGCAGTCGGCACGAACTTTCGCCTGTGTCATTATTGACAAAGCGCTGACAGCAGTCATAGAAAGCGCCCTTGTCACTGTCACTTGAAATGTTTGTTAGGCATAGTCTACAGTGACATTCAGCTTCATAGTTTACGCGACAGACCGAGATCATCTTCGGCAACTGTTTTACAGAGATTGCCGCATAGTTTACACTTGACGACAAGAGGATACTCACACTGGCAGTGCGCAATTTGCTCTCACCTGATCATCGAAATGGCCAACCATCCTTTTGATAACGCTTGCCATTCCGCGGAAGGAGTACATGGAGTTTGTACCAGCAGGCTGTACGGCAGCTATCGTCCAGTTTACCTTCACCAGTTAAGGAACGAAGGTTCCAGTATGCAACATGAAACTCACCTCTTGTAGCGTTGATACGCTGGATTTCGTAGTTCTAAATTTTGACTAGTAAGTCCAAAAATCCTGAGTCCCTCGCTTCGTGACTCATTTTCGCACTCGTAAGAAGTTTCACCACCAGTATTACCGTTATATTACCTGTGTTACGTTATGAATGAAAATATGGCGATGAGCATCGTGTGAAACCGTCAATATGCATGAAATTGCAAAAGGTTTGAAACGGGAGAGATTAAACACAAATGATACTGTAAGCGGGATCAGCGGGATTAGAACGTACTTGAATCGTTCTTATATGTAGAGGGAATACTTTCTTACCATTGTAATCGAACAACGAGTTAAGTATGACCCATTATTTCAATAACCTGCTTTATAACACGTAGTCAATACGAAGAAATATTAAAACGAAGTGAGCTCTCGTCATCGGAATGTGAGGTGAGCAGACGATTTTGGACTCTTTCTAACGACGTTGTTTTTGACGAATACAATGATAAGTGCAACAGTGAGTGAAACTGATTGAAATAACGGCTTGTTCTGTTTGTTTCTAGGCCACTAGACATCATGGTTGCGTATGCAGCATATACATTTGTTCAGAACTCCGCTTTGGCCGGTTCCAAGCCCGAATGGGAAAGGCGCAGGGTTGGGGACCGTGACGAGTTCTCCCTTAAAACTAAGCGACCTGCCCTTCGTGCTGTTTTTGGCTGTCATACTAGCTTGGTTGTCTCCTGGGTAATCCAAAGCCGCGCAGACTGCTGGATAACTGAGGTGGGCTGGGAAAAGTTTCTGACGAGAACCTACTTCTCACATTCTGGCACGTGGGTGACTTAGCTGCATTGCTATCGCTGTCAAGGATAGAATAAAAGACGACAGAGATCGCAGTGAATCAGATACCTATTCTGAACCGATGAGGCAGATAGCACGGTACCATTATAGCACGTCAGATAGGGCTTCACGGGAATTACACCAATAGTACGAATGGTACGAACTTGCAGTCGCAAATTGAAACATTTTTTCACTCACAGGGAAAGACCATGAGCTAGTTGATGAAGTCGCAAAGAGACCATGGTACTAGGGCCGATGGTACCAATTCGACATAGACGGACTCTCGTCAGCGAAGCGCCCAGGCTCTAATATTCAGTTCTTCTGCTAGTGGAGGCTATTTTACTCAGGTGTCGAGAGCACCAGGCGCTTTCAGACCGGGGTTGGTATTCTGGTATGACCCAACCTGGCTGATAAAACATTGAATGGAAGACTGGCAGTGGAAGAGTGGCAGTTCTTTGATTGAAGCTACAACAAGCTAAAGCGTTGACATTGTCACAGGTGTATGCGTCTTTTCTGGAGGACGAATGTGAGTCCTTCATTGAGGAAGTTCTTTGTTCTTTGAACGAAGTGCCGACAGTGGAGTCCCTCATTATAATGCTCGATTGTTTTGTGCATACCGAAGCAAATACCGAATGGCGAAATTAGAACTAACGGCCCTAGCGACCTGAACAGTAACGGCTTGAAGTTGTTGCGGTTTCGTGCAAACAGTGGACTGTCGATTATCAGCACCTTCGAGTATCGAAGCGTTCATCATTATAGCTTGTATAAAGAATCTTGTGCACAGAAGTAGATAATCGAGTTGATAATCATATCGTCTGACTTAAGACGCTCAGTAATGGATGTTCGTGTTAAAAGAGGCGCAGAGCTATCAACCGATCACCACCTTGTTGTTGGCACGCTTCGCTGTAAAAAATGGAGTAGCATACGAAGATCTGCTGGTAGAAACAACTAGAGAATCAAATGAGAAACATTGTCTTCGGTGAGTGCGAAGGTAAAACTTGTAAAGAGCATCTCACGACGGTTTGAACAGATCTCAGTGATGACCGCGCATATGGAAACTTAATGGAATCTTTTAATGATCATCTTACTTGGTGTTGAAAACAGGATTGCCTGCCACCTAAACGTTATAAACGAATTTCCTCCTGGATGCAAGAATTTCAGCAGAAGAAAGCTGCAGGAAGGAGGTGGCTTGAAAGCAAGGAGTCTTCAACTCAAATTCGGTGCGGAAAAGCGTGCAAGGCTCTAGTGAGAGCAGCGACCTAAGCGAAAGTTGATTCCTGAGAAAAGTTCTTGGAGGTGATGCAGTTGAATTTCCAAAGGTCAAACATGTTATTTTGGCAGAACATCCGCTGCCTCTGAGTTGGAAAGAAGAGCAGTCTAAGATTTCTGAAAGACAGGTCAGGATTCCCTCTTTCCGAGGATAAGGACATTATTTGGCGATGGATTGAGTATTTATAGGAACTCCAAACGCTGAGGAATCGCAGGAGGACTCGCTTAGAAAGTAGAATGCAACCAATATTAGTCTTCCAGTGAATGGAGTCACAGAAAAGTTGAAAGTGGCGAGGCTGTTCGAATCGACCAAGCCTACCCTGAAATCTTTAAAGCGTTAGGCAAACAAAACATGTTTAGCATTCTCGTATCTGGCATACTGCAGTTTCTACAGGCAAGCACAAGTGAACTGGAAAACGGGGATTATATAATACTCCTGTTCAAGAATTGAGACCATAGGGATTGCTCCAGATAACGGTGCATTGCTTCACTTAGCCTCCTAGATAACGGTGTTAGAAAGGAAGTGCCACGGAATAACTGACCCTAAGGTACAGAAAGTACAGTGTGGTTTGAGAACAGGCTGAAGCACGTTTGACCAGATATTCGCCCTACTCTGATTGTTGAGAAATCATCAGAGTTCGCTATCTGGTTTACATGTGCTTTGTGGACCCGGAGCCTGTGACCAGATCACGCGCAGCAATCTGTGTACATGCGTGGAAACGTTAAGGATCGATTACCAGTTGTAACAGGATATCCAGTCACTACACTACACGTTGATAGCAGATACTGCGTCAGAATAAATGGCTTAAATTCGAGATCTTTGATTGTTGGCACCGATCTCTACCTAAACTGCGTTTCCCTCGCTCTCCTGTTTGTGTTGTACATTAACAGAATAGTCAGGCGCAGCCAGGGCGACTGATGTATCAACTTTCTGGGACATAAGGCTGGGCTCATCCGTCTCGACATGGTCCGGAATACAGATATCTGAGAGTGCCTTGATGCACAGTCGCTTCTTCTCCTCAATGATAAGTCACAACTGCAATGGTTTGGGTACGTCTTTTGAATACTTCCAGTAAATGAAAGGATGCAGCTACCAATTACCCAACCTAGCAGCGAAAAACCCCGAGACGG